CCAGGGCTTTTTTTCTTAAAGGGCCAGAGCTGCCTCATGCTGGGCACCCATGAAGGGGCTGGGGGAGCAAGGGGGGGCATTGGGGGGCAACAGGGATTGCCCCTGCCCAGCAGCACCCGGTGAGCCAGGGATTTTTTTTTTTTTTTTTTTAATAAGTGCTGGGAGCTGGGGTAGCCATTGCCAGGCTGAGAGAAGGGTGGGGGATGGGCCTGGCCTGGCTGATTCAGCGATTTGGAGATTCAGCAGGTGCCAAATCTCTAAATCATATTTGGCTGAATTGAATCAGGACAGTGATTCGAATCACCAAATCAAATCACTATCCTCTGAGTCGGCCGAATCCGAAGCAAATACTAACTGCTTCACACAGGCCTATTCACTAATGCACCGTAGTTACTGCACATTAACTTTAGTACTTGGATAACCAAGTACTAAATCAATGCAGCGTAATGGGCACTACTGCGCAGTAGTGCAGATGCATGGGTTCTTACAGATGCTAACTGTGCAGTAGTCTAACGTGACTGTGTGTTAGCATATTAGTATGGGTTTGCCCAACACGATACTGCACAGTGTTATTATGCTACTGCAGCATCAGCATCTTGTGTAGATGCACCCAGAATGTATCAAGAATATGTGGGAAGTACTGTACTCTAAAAGGTCTTAAAGAGTAGGATAAAATTATTGTACTTGGTATGATAGAAAAGGCGAAGTCAGAGGAAAGGCAGAGAGGATGCTATGGGCATGGTAAGGAGGTCAGATCAAGTTGATCTTGTGTGCTAGCTTTCTGCTGCTCCTCCAGTGGCTCTTTAGACACTTTGCAGTAGCTTTGGATGAAGAAAGGGGCTTGGCAGCAAGGACTGGGACAGGTTATAGTTACATTTTGATCTCTATTGGCCCAGAGGAATAAAACCACAGAATATGCATTCTCGTTCGGCACGTCGAAAATTATTTTGAATTGTTCAGTGACTAAATGCTAGAATTACAGTGCCTGTGTAATTTCTGTGAATTTTTTACTTAACATCTGGCACTCTATGATGCTGACAGGGGAAAGCAAAATGTTGGAGTTTTCTGATTTTATTTTCAAGGTCAGTGACTAAATTCCACAGTTGGGGCTAAAAGGCAAGTTATTTACTATAAATAATTTAAATCTTTATTTTTCTTGAGAGTAAAGAGATAGGTAGGCATACTTTGACTTCAGAAGTAAAGGATTACAGTTGAGATACTCATGCAAGTTAACCGTAACACATACCTCAACCACATTGGGGTGTGTTTTTTTTTATTTTAAAATAAAAGAAATTGAAAGCAGCTGAAAATATAAAATTTATACAGGTATCAACTGTACGTGCTCAGCAAATATTAGCCTTGCATTTTTCATGAGGATTTGTTCTATGGATAACATTTATCC